CTTAGTAAACATCAGTTTTTAATTTTTATACGTATTTCTTTATATTTGGATAGTGACAGGATTGTATCGTAAAACTAGTTCTTCTCGATATCTCTAATGATATATAAATTAAAATTTTTAATTTTTACTTTAACAGCATTCCGTCATAGCAAAAAACTGAACTTGTTTAAAATGCGAAGGTCCTTTATTTTCTTTAGCTCACTGGTAGGTCGGTCTTTTTACTTGTATTTAATGGTAGGCTCGACTCAGCACACCCAAACCAGTCGTAGGTGATGGACAATGATGCGTTTAATTTTAATTTTATTCTAAGTTCAAACTAATTAATGTAAATTGTGATCTCGTGGCTGTTAATTATGGAAATTGAAACGTACAAATTATCCACTAAATTAAATTTTTTAAATAGTATTTTATAGAAAATACCCACAATTAATTTGCAATTGCTAACTATTATTTGGTTTGGCCAAGAATTCTTTAAGAAACCGTGTAGATGTCTATGCAATTATTGCAGTTGTAGTTTAGCACCAGGACATCAAATATGACAAATCACTCTTTTGTTATGAGATGCGTTTGCATATAAATATTTACAAAACATATGTTCTTCGCTTTCAAGGTTTACAAGGCCAAGGTAGTCCAGCTAGAAATAAATTATTCAGATTTTTTTTGGCTGCCGGTTTCAGATCATGAAAATTACTATCTCATAAAAAAAGTGGTAACATAAGTTCTAGAACATAACGGCTGTTGAAAGTAAAAGTTCAGGTCCGACTATCTTTTGTCCTTTTTTATTCCACAAAAAATATAAACAAGTCTTTTCATAAAATATGGGAAATAATGCAAATAAATTAACTTCAGAATATAGAAAAGCATTCTTTTTTAAACTTTTATTTTTTTTACATATTACAGAGCAGACATCTAATTAAACAAACGCACTAATAATAAAAAAAACAAAAATACGTGGCCGTAGTTTCATCGAGTTCCAGAATTCTTAGTACACATATGAGCCTACTCCATAGGCATAGGGATAGGCAGCGTAGGGGTACGCAGGTACTGCTCCCACAGAGTAGAATTGAGGGTTTGGCTGAGGTGCAGGAAGAGCCAAAGCGGCAACGGCCAACAAGGCAAAGAAGAAAAGCTGCATTCGAAAAACACAATCACAAACTGTTCTAATTATTCAAAAAATTACTTACCAATTTAAACATGGTTGTTGTGATCTGTAGCACTGGTTATGGAAACCTACATTGTCGAATTTTGCGCACTTCTTTTATATTAAAAGAGTTAGGTCATATGACCAACCTCAATTTACGTTACTAGTTTTTGCAAGAAGACCAGGAAGTCTATTTAAAGCTTAACCAACACGCAGATTTAAATTATAAATTAGATACCTGTAAGAGGCGAGGATTTTTTTAATAATGAGATCATCGAAACAATGATTATATCACTTATGATTTATAACCTTTTTTGACTCGATATAATTCTAGAAACTAGAATTCATTTTTAATCCTGTTTTAGCAACATTATTTCTTGTTTCTGTAATTTTTTTTACCTGGAAAATTTTTCTAAAATAGTTACGAGAAAAATTGCAACTAGTTTATGAATTTATTAGACACTATACTGTCTACAAGTAGCAAACTAATAAATTCTCCTTGACTTAATTTATCATAGCACCACTGTCCTATTTTTTTACTGTACTTTGAGTTACTAAATTCTCAAAAAGGATTTTAAGAAAATCGTCCTACTAGTCCTACTAGTGCACATTTTTTGGCTGTATTACCACTTTCCTGTTCGAAAGTACATGGTCTGATGATTTCTATTTTTTATTTAGAATCCAAATTTAAATTTTGTTTGTTGCTATCAATAGGTATTACTTTTTTTTAATAATCAATATAAGCAATAACAAAAATGTAAATATTTAAGTGTTACGAATATTACTAAATTCTAATAAATATATTTGTCATAAAAACATACCTTAGAGAATTATTGTTTGAATTCAAGTTGACATGAGTTTTCCTCATGAAACACCTGACATAATTAAAGAAAACAATAATAAAATTTTATGTCAATTTTAAATTTGAATTTGGTATTGCGTAAAGCAAATAATACTTCTACTAACAACCCTCTTGTACCGACGTAAAGTGGGGTCATTTACCGGATAATATTCAATAAATTACGGCCTCAACTCTTTGACACCATAATTAATTGTTTAGGGTTATGCATTGTCCTAAACAAATAATCTGTCAATTTTTAATACCGATATTATATTACGTGCTTAATAAATATTTGGTGGATCGGTCGAACACAAGAAAAAATATTTGTGTAAGAATATAACTTCATTATAAATAAAAGGGATAGGTATATGTATGTATTTTTTATGTAAGAATTTGTAGGTATGTAGTATAATTTTATTTATTACTTTATTACTATCAATATTATTATTACTATCAATAAATAGCACCCCTGAGTGTGACTCTCGTACGGATTTATTATCAGTATTATTATGCTCTCTGTAATTTTTGCAATTAATTAAATAAAACTGTTTTGGGCTGCTTGTGTTTTCGAAAAGAGCGATTACAGGTGATTATGTTTAGTGTATAGCAGATACTTGCTTTATTTCTATGCTTATGTTCAAACACATTTTAAAAAATATTACGTTTTTATTAGCTAATGTAATAGTTTTAATTTATTCAATATTCCAGTCTTTGAAGCAATAAGATTTTAATGTTCTCTGAATTTCACAAATTAAGTGCAAAGACGAATAAAAATACTTTTTATTTTAAAATTTATTTATTTATTTATTTTGCATTACAAGATTAGATTAAATTCACTTAAAACTTAACAGAGCAGACTTAAAACTTCAAAACAACGATCGGTAGATGGCCATAGATCCAGAGCTCTAGTACACTAATCCACCCCATCCATAGGCGTAGGGGTACGCAGCATAGGTGGAATAGGCTGGCACGGCGTAGAATTGTGGGTTTGGCTGTGCCACTGGTCCAGGAAGTGGGCCAGGTTTGGGGACAGCCAAGGCAAGAGCCAACAAGGCAAAGAAGAAGAGCTGTTGGTAAAAATTATCATCAATTAACAACACATTACAAAGAAAAATATAAAAATGCTCACCAATTTGAACATTGTTGTTGTGATCTGTAGCACCGGTTATTCAAACCTATGAAGTCTCATTATCCGATGTTCTTTATATATAATAGGATCCAGAAGTTTGGTCATATGACTAACCGTTTTACATTGCTTGTTTTTGCAGTAAGACAAGAAAGGTATAACTAATACGCATAAATCAAAACAAGAACCTACTGAAGAAACGTCGCGAAAATTGGACTTGGACTTCTAATAATAGTAATTATTAAATCATCTAGGATAAAAAACTGCTGTTTATGTATGTGTTTATTCCAGTTGTTCAAGTGAACCAAGAGAAATGAAACTTGTTGTCTGACCACCCACTCTTACTTGATCTGTTTTATTTATAATTTTTTTCCAAAGCGGATCTAGGCATTTTTGGGTACGGTAATCAGTACGACAACAAGTACAAAAATGTACTCAAACAACATTGTTTTCATAAAGTGATATTTGAATAAGAATAAAAATTATGGAAATTACTGATGTAAACATTTTTTTTTTAATAAATTTAATTAACTCTGTTCCAAGTTTTTAAAATAGTGTCATTTTGTATTTGTTATTTACCAGTATCTATTTATTCTAAATAAAATATTTTTTTACAATAAATTTTATAACTTACCTATCACATACGAGTATCTGTACTTTATTGCGGAAACTCATTACACCAAACCAAAATCGACAATATAAATTAGTAATGCGTCATTTGCATGCCATAATAAATTAAACATTTTGCAAAGGTGTTGTTAATGTGTTATTTCCAGATTGTTTTAATAGGACACATGTATTATTTCGGGTTTTTTCGATTATGTAAAACAAATATTAAATTGAGCGGAAAATGTTAATTATATCGGGAGTTATACAGATTTAAAAAGATAAAAAACTTCCATAGCGAATGAGCAAATAATTATATAGTTTTTTCTAAAAATTGACAATTTCATAAAGTTCAAAGTTAAAAAATAATACAAATACTAAATCCTAATACTACACCAAAACAAAATAAAAATTGTAAGTTTATAACTTATATTTGAAATTATCAGCTGTGTGACAAGACTCTACTTTTATGAAGTTTAGAAGTGAATAATAGTAGATTATGTTATTAGGAGTAAAAGTGATTGTTTATGTGGTGAAACTGAACGTTCATTTTGCCGAACGGAGTGAGGCAAATGGATTCAGCTGAGCCACATAAACTCACTTTTACTCCAAATAACATATACTATTTTATCTGCAAACGATTCAGATGGAACGAAAAGAGCAACACACCAATAATCAAGTAAATCACCTCAATAATCAGGACGCTTTGCAATAAAATCATAACAAACGTCACGCGTCAGTTTCGGAATTTGTGTTGAGATTTCGAAAGTGTTCACTGATTTAACTGGTGAATAACTGGTGTAGTTTATAGTGCAAAATGTCGAATGCTGATAATCTACCTTGTACCTCTCCAGAAAATGCTGAAAAAGCGAAAGGGACAAGAAAGAGACAACAGTGGTAAATGTCAAAGTAAGTGTCAAGTAAAAGTGAAAACGCCTAGGCGTAAAAACAATGTTTTTACTCCATGTCTGAAAAGTAAAACTTTTACCTGTGTCATTTAGTCATAAAAGTGGTCACTTTTGTGACGTTTGCAGATAAAGGTAGTTTTTTTACCGTAACATACAACAGCAAATCGTATTATTATTATTATTCCATAAATAGCTTTCTTTACATTATCAAGTACAGCTAAACTGAATGAATTAAGAGAATCCTACTGTTTTTTTTGAACAAATAAGATAATTTTGGTTTAAAACTTTTATGCAAAGTTGTCTGAAAAATTAGTAGAAAAAAATTCCACATGATTTTTAATAGTACATTATATACTGAGATGTAAAGTGTTTCATTTCTGTCGAGAGATTAGAAAGTTTATCCAGACGCTTGCGTTGAAAAAATGTTAAAAAAGTTTGACTCGTTAGTCGAGTCAGCCGTTTTCTTCATCATTGCAACAAACATTACAATAATAAACAAAGTAGTTACGTAGTTTAATGCTATTAAATGCTTATGAATTATTGATTAATATATTATTTATGACAGATTTTGCTCATTAAGTCTTTAAATGTATTGAAATGGTGAAATCAGAAGAAGAATTAATACCGCCACTACTACAGCAAGTATGCAATAATGTGACACTTTCCAACTATTGTCAAGATTAGAAATATCAACATTACACATACGGTAGTGAATAAATAATATTTTTATGCAACTCTTATCCAGACTGCTTTAGAAGAACAAAAAAATGCTACCGTGGCTAGGTAACAAATCAATTTTTGAATACGGAAAGATTTAAAATTTTTTTGTTATTACTAGATATGATAAATTTTATTTTAGAAACTATTTGTTAGCATACTACTACATTTCACATGGAAACAATTTGCATCCGATCGCAAATATATGATAACAAAGAGGACAGAACATAAAACAAAATTAACTTTTAATAAAATTTATTAAACCAAACAGTCACAACCAGAAAGTCATAAGATGGAATTTCGACTATTCAAACACTTTGATATCCTTAGATGTACCCATATCCCAAAGCACCATAGGCGTAAGGATGGGCATATCCATAGGCGCCGTATCCCAAACCGGTGTATCCTCCATAGATGAACTGAGGAGCGGCTTTGGGTTCAGCCAAGGCAAGAGCCAAAAGGGCGGCCAAGAAAACGAACTGCAATAAAATTTCAATAATTACCTTTCGTTTAAATTAAAACAAATTCACTTACGAGTTTGAACATTTTGATTGTTGTTGAGTTGGCTTGTGGAGCAAACACTGATTTTGTTCTGTTTTAGTTCGATATTTATATTAAATTTGTCAGGGGTGTGTCACACAGAAACACCATCAAAGCAGGAAGCCGTTGATATTCCACTTTTTTAGTGTGGGATATTATGAATTTTAACAATATTATAATTTCTTCATTAGTGAAAATCAGCTGATCTTGTTTACCTTCCTGAATGACTAATCCACGACGCCAATTTGTAACAAAGCAAGTGGAAATCAGTAGATACGAGTACATAACAGACTGTCCCAACAAGTTGAAAAAATCCATTAGCGACCTTTAAATCGTGAAATTAAAAAAAAATAAAAAAGGACATTGATAGATACTAATCTAGTCCATCGCCTAAAATTATTTTAAACTATACAGCGTGTCTCAAAAATAAGTTACAATTCAAACTTGTGTTTTTTTTTTTTAATGGAACACCATATGTTTCTTAGCGTTTTTGGATGTAGATTTTTATGACAATGTTTTTAAGGTAAACGTTTATTGGTCGATTTTGCTTAGTTTTAAAAATAAGATTTTTTTTTGACGAAAACATGCACTTTTTAAAAATTTATTACACAAAAACTAAGACATCTAGAAATATTTTTTTACTACCGCAAAGAAGGAGGTACAAGCTATAAGGTTGTAACATTTTTTAATGTGTTGCATTTGCATTGCAACAAAAATGAAGGCGTTTGTTAAAAGTTCTATAACTTAAAAATTTTAAATGGAACACCCTATTTATTGTTTTTGCATTTTATTAAAGTGTCTTTCTAAAATTATTTACTTTTAGGTGTTTATATTCAGTAACTAAAAAGATATTTAACATTAAACATTAAAAAAAATAATAACTATTTGATTAGTAGCCAAAAAGTGCACAATTGCACAAGAGACAGATTAAATATCACTTAATCATATTTGTGTTAAACTGAATCCATTATTTTTTATTTTTACAATAAAATAATTCAAATTTCAGTATTTTATAAGGACTCTTACAATCTCTGGATAAATCAACGGATAAGTGATCCGTGGTGGAATTACTATGTTGCCATAGTATCAACAATGCCCAGATATTGATAGGCATTGTTGCTAGAATTAATATCGAATGTTAAATATCTTTTCATTTATCAATTCTAGGCATTAAAAGTTTACTTTTGTAGATAGACAAATTATCAATCTATTAGATACAAAAATAAAAAAAGTTTAAGTTAATTAACTTTCAACAAACTTCTTCATTTATTAATCTTTACAAACGCAAAACACTAAAAAAATGCTACAGCTTTAAATTCTGTACTTTCTTCTTTGCAAAAGTAAGAAAAAAATTGTTCTAGCTGTCTTAGTTTTTGTGTAATAATTTTTTTAAAAGTGCATGTTTTTGTCAAAGTAATAAAAGTTTAGCGTAAAAATATTGTTTTAAAACTACATCCAAAAATGCAAAAAAACATACGGTGTTTCATTTAAAAAAAACACAAGTTTGTATCGTAACTTATTTTTGGGACATGCTGTATGAATGAAAATAATCTTAGGTGATGCACTAGATTAGTATCTATCAATGTCCTATACATTTTTTTCTTAATTTTACCATTTAAAGGTCATTAATGGGCTTTTTCAACTCGCTGGGGTGCCAAAATACTCGTATAGTACAAATAACATAAAACGTAATAAAAAATTTGTAATAAAAAAATTTAAATTTGATTTTTGGTATAGTACAAAACTTCAGCCATAGAAAATCAATACGTAAAATATACCTAAAACATGAATGTCTGTTTCTTACCTAGCTGCTTGTGTAAACAATTTTTTGTTATTCCAATTTAAGAAAAAACAACTCATTTTTGTCGTGGCTATACATTGAAATTATTTTGGATTATTCTATATCTATTTGTAATTTTATCAAACTTTTAGTAACAAATAGTAATAAATTTTACAAGGAGTTCTTTAATCAATGCTGAGAAAAGTGTAACACGTTTTTAAGTTTTTTTTTGCTGTTCTCTTTCTAAACTTTATTTTAGAATTTCATTATTTTATATTTGTTTTATATTTATATTCTTTCATATTTCCAGTTAACAAGTTAACAAAAAAAGTACAAGGTTTAAGAAAAAAAAATAAATTAAAAAATAAAACAAATATTTAAAAAAAATGCACTATAATAAAATAAGTCTACAGTTTGTCATAAATATTCAGTGTAGCAACATGGTAGAAAAATGGTCGTTAGAAATGTTCTCCGAACGAATTAGGTGACCCAAATGTCCCAAAAGATTTGACGTCGTAGTTGGCCACTCCCGCATCTCCAAAGTAAGGTCGGTGATTATAAATGGAGAAAAAAGTTTTAATTTGGGGCATACCTTCGACCATCCACGTACACATCAAAACGACTACCAGGAGAAATGCCTAAAATCGTAAAAAAATAATAACAAAAACTGTTAAATTACCATATTTTCTCACAAAAGTTGATTTATTAGCCATGTTTTTGCTACAGTTTCGCGAATCAAACTGCACAACTCCGTGAACGAGAATGGTCAGGGCTGCGACTAAGCAGGAAATATAAAGTGATTTGAATTTGTCCTGCTTGGAATTTAAATGCCACATGTTATCCAGGATCCGTTGAATATTTGTGTACACAAAATAATTATTATAATCAACACGATGAATCATTTCAGGTGGAAAATAAGTTGTTAGATGTATTATTAAAATGTATGGATGTTTGGACGAAAAGCAGGTTTTCACATAACTTGAAATGTATTTTGGTTGTTTTTGGAATTGCTTCAAAAGATGCGTAAGCAGGAAGATTCAATTCGAAGGACTTTAGAATGTCATTACTTATTATCATTACCAAGGTGAAAATAGTAAGGCAATCAGAAAAGTTTAAAACTGAGAGACATATTTTTTCCTAGAACTCATAATTGATAATAACATTTTGAAATAATTATTTAATAAATATATATTCAAGTATTCCTACTACAAAAAAATGTTTAGAACACGAGGGCGACCGTCTGTATGGGTTATATTTTGTGTAGGAATAATATGTTTTTAGTCATAAGGGGCAGATAACATTTTTTCAGTACCTGATTTAGTACTTTTTTATTTGATAAAATTAGAAGGTTGAAATCTATCGATAGCAGTTTTACTTTATTTTGTTGTAAACAAGTCTTGACGCTCATGAAAACACACAGAATTTATAGTTTGTGAGAAATTTTAATCAAGGAATGGGCAATTTTTACATTTATGCAAGTGCTGAGTTGATATAGGAGCTGTAACTGTACTTAATTAAATTTATCCACTAGTGAATACAGTAGAAAATTTGAATTTTATAAAAAACATTTTCAAGGATTTAACTTGTATTATTATTATTTATCTTGTATTGGACAATATTTCAAAACATAGATTTGTTGAAAATAAATCAATAAATAAAATAATAAAAAATAAAACACAAAACTTGTTTTTTCCTTGTACAGGATGTTTATGGTCTTGATGTTGAAAGATGATTGCACTATTTAAAAAAATCTAATACGCTATACAAAATATAAATTTACGTTATGAAAGTAAATAATTTATTTTATATTATTTGTTTGAGAACTGCTACTTCAGATACAACAATCGCCAATAGTGCCATTAGTGTTTTTCTTTTGGTTTTCCTTTTTTGTCAAATGTATTTCACTATTACTCAATACTATTTCATTTGATATATTAATGTCAAAGCAACGTAGGTCCATGTTCATACATTTAAAAAAAAAAGGCAAATCAATCCTATTGAAAACTATTTTGTTGGAAGTGAAAATCTTCGAGTTTTGATATAAACTAAGGCAAAACCAAATCGAATGATGACAATGTCAAAACTAAAAGTAACATTTTGCATTCATTTTCTGTTATTGGTTGCAACAATGCAATTTTATCTTAACAAGGAAATAATTCCAGTGACCCTCAAACTTTGTACCAATATTTTCGAGTTAAATAATACAATAATTTTGCGAGTTTTGTTCTCGACTACAATATTTCTATACTTTTTCATTATTAGGTCAATTTTCAACATCATAAAACACCCTATCCTCTATACCTACCAAATTTTTGTGGTACTTACTACATCTTTAGAACCCTGAATAAGTATAAAATATATCTTAATGGTTTTATCAATAATGGCAGTATCCAACCATACAGAATAAAACTTATAATATTATACTCGAATTTCTCCTATATAAAAATATATCTTTTGCAAAAATCTATTGAATTTTGAACACAATCCAAAATCTTTTAGATGAATCCATATCCCAAAGCACCATAGGCATAGGGATGAGCGTATCCATAGCCTCCATAGATAAATTGTGGGGCAGCTTCAGCAGCAGCCAACGCGAAAACCAATAGAGCGGCCAAGAAAACAAACTATTGTATCCAAAATTAAATCATAAATGTGACAAATGAAATAATTTTGAACATTTTCGTTTATTGATCTGATAAGCTTGTCTGGGGCAAACTATAAGAATAATTTACTTATTTTCAGTATTTATACCGGCTTTTAGGGGTGTGTCCTATTAAATGTAGACGTCAGAAACAGGAAGCTTTTAATATTCCAGTTAGTTTTTGCCACGAAATCGTAAGTTGATTGTTTACAAAATAGGAGGTGTTAACATTTATGTCACTTCTGGATGTTAAAATTTCACATTAGATTTTAAAATCTTGCTGTTTCTAATGGGAAAGTAAAACAAAAAACATAAAATAAATGCAGTAAAACTTTAAATCAATATTAAAATCACATTTGACAATGCAAAGTAAATGACAACTTAATTCGAATTAGTTTAATTCTGAATTGAATGTTATTTTGAAAATCAACCCCAATTTCTATCGAATTTTATGATTTATTTCAAGACTTTATAAAAGAAAACATTTAATTTTTTTGTTATGAATATTAACTACTACACAAACAGTACTTTTAACCACAACCGTCAATTTAATAAATTGACTAATGCACACTATTATAAAATGCAAATAACGTTGAAGAGTCATAATTATCTTAAAATTTAATTGATTCAATTTTTAGCAAGTGTTTACAAATAATTTCTGTACCTATTCAAAATGACAGCATGTAGCAGTTAAATTTTGTATCTCTCTTGTTGCCTTACTTACGTTCAAAAATATGTACTTACCTAAAACTTACTTTAAAAGTTAACACATTAAAATTTATTTTGCTATCAATTAGAAATCTTTTATGTAAAAACTATGAAACTATCAAATTACTATTCTAATGAGTTTTTTAAGGTTTACTAAGATACTGCAAATAATAAATATTTAAAAGCGAATTTCAAAGTAAAATAGCAACAAATTTGTTATAATTAATTGTTTGAATGTAGAAACATTAAATTAAAAACAAAAGTGATTAAATGATAAAATTTTGTTTTATTATTATACATATAAAACGATACAAAAACCTGCGCCTATATTATTATTAAAACTAAAAAAATACAAGAATTTATCTTCTTTAGTATTCATATCTACAAAAAAATTTTTGCTTGAATTATAGATACTAAAATTTCTTTTTGTGCTTGAATCATGGCAAATTATCAACAAATAAAAAGCAAGATGCAAGCAATTTTTCTAATAGAAATGTAAAATCACAATCAATGAGCAAGTTATTTTGATATTGCTCAAATTTAAAAATATGTAACATTTGCTCATTTTTGTTAATATTGTTTGTAGTGTCAATTTTTCTTTATTATTTCCTTCAATTTTATTTAAAATCCAAAAAGCAATTTAGTTCCTTATTATTTTTAGTTGCAAAAGACTTAAAGAATGTATAATTTTTATAAATAAAACAAATGGATTATCTTTAATAACAATTTATTAGCTCAGTCTGAATTTTGCACAATCAATAATACAAGCCTCCATAGTGGCCATAAGCGCCATAAGCTACTGGGGCTGCATATCCGCCGTAACCGTAACCCAAACCGGTGTATCCTCCATATAGGAATTGAGGAGCGGCTTTAGGGGCAGCAAGGGCGAAAGCCAAAAGGGCGGCAAAGAAAACGAACTGTAACAAAACAAATTCAATTAAAATTATCTGTTACAGAATTGAGATTGTTAACTTACAAGTTTGAACATTTTGATTTGTTGTTGTGGTAGCTTGTCGGTGGCAAACTCTAACCAAAACTAGGTTTGCACTGTTTATTTATACCAGCTGTGTGGGGGTGTGTCACAAAGAAACAGGATTTTGCAAAACAAACCTCCAAAATAAATGTTAATTAGGTCAACTTTGCTGATTAACATATGCTATGTTTGTTCACATTTAATCACTTGATTAAAAAAAATAATTTATTTCTCTGTGTGGTAAGCTGCTTTTCTTTACGCGACCTTCCGTGTATAAGCAAATCAGTGGTAAACGTAAAATCTTTCATTAAAATTCGAAGGTCTTTTCAAAGTCACACCTCCAAAATTTTGTATAAAATCGTCTTCGAAAGTGCTTTTTTCATCAAGAAAGAATATAACATTATCCAAAATAAAAAGCGTGTTAGTTATTATCGACGAGTGATGTCTTTCACAATGAGCTGTAGGTGTTTAAAACGGCTGTAATTTTAGTAATCACCTAGTAGTAATTAGTAATCACATTCGATTTTTGATTACCAAATAATTAGATTTGTTCTCAGAATGATAAATATGTGACCAACTTATTAACACTTAGCAATTTCAAAACGATTATTTATAAATTTATGTACATACAATCCGTCGAAAACGTTATAAATTTATAAAATTTGTGTTTAGGGTTTAAGTAGATAAATGTGTTCAAGTATCTGTTTTTTTTTGTAATTGATAGTCAAATAATATACACTTTTCTTGAACATTTTTATTTATCAACAATTAGAACTTATTGTTATTTACTGAGTGATCCATTTTTGTGAGAGATTTGTTGGTAATAAATGGAAAAAAATATTTTCTTAGGTCCTATTCTCTCAAAATTTATGGTCCTTCTTGCCACATGTTTCGGCTATTTTTAGATAGCCATCTTCAGGCATTATTGTTTAATTCGCTTCCGACCCCGCACAATTTTACGAAAATTTATTGTAATATAATTTTTGAGTTATTTTTTTGTTTAATAGGCGCATTTTTAGCCTCTATCGATGATGTTGATAATGTGAGACGAATGTTTTTTTTTTCCCATTATAATGTTTGTTATGTCTTATGAGATACTTTTTCATTACTTTTGAAAGGAGAAGCCTTTAATTATTCGCAAATTTTATTATGTTGACTGACATCTAAACGAAATAATTTTACTACATTAGTAACAACATCAGAACAGTTATTTTTCGAACATAAGACAGATTTAATTGGTATGAGTTATGGTGATTGTTCGTTTAATTTAATTAACATTTATGTTAATTTTGGATAAAAAGTAATTTTTAGGATGGATTCGAATAATCAGAGAAATTTGTTTGATGAGAAATATTTATTTTGGTGACAATTGTTTATTATGGTGACAGCCTCATTTAAAACTTTTTCGTTTGCGGTATGAAGTTGAAGATTTATACTTTCGCTTTCTTTCGGATAAAATGTATAATCATTAAATATACACAAAACAGAAAAAAGCTTAAAAAATTAGATCTGTAGTTTAAAAAAATATCACCCTTAAGCTTAGGCAAATGTTCGAAAATTTACTGAATTATAGGTAGTAATTATTCTACTTATTTTACAATTATTTAATTTCTTGATGTCTTTTTAAATTTTTGACGAAGTTAAGTGTAACATTTATTTATAATAAATTAAAAATACAGTTGTGTACTTTTAATAAGTAAAAAGTTGCATTATGTATTGTACTGGGTAATCACGAATTACTGCTTAAGTTGGTAATTTGTAGTAAATTTCATTTTATAATGGTACAAATAAAGTAACTTCCCGTTGTTGACCACGTCAATATATTAACACTATTATTTGATTTAGTTCATTAGCAAACCTAGTTCAAAAATTTCGTAATTTATAGCAAGGAGCTAATGATATACATTTATTCACAATGAACTTAAATGTCATCAAATAAATTTCTGTGATTGATTTAAACTTTTCTGTTGTTTTGTCATTAGGGACAAATTTGTCTCCGTTATCCCCTCTTATTAGTGTCTTGATTTTAGTATAAATATTGAGGGAAAAATAAGAGAATCAGCACAGTTAGCTGATCCAGTATCGTCTAATCCTACAACAAGATGTTCAAGCTTGTAAGTAATTCTTATTTTAAAATTTTATTAGTTTATAATTTATTTTGCAATATTTTAGTTCGTATTTTTGGCCTTTGTTGCCTTCGCCTTCGCCGCCCCGAAAGCTGAACCTCAGTACTTCGGAGGATATTATGGCGGTTTGGGCTACCATCATGGTTTGGGATATGCAGGATATGGAGGAGCTTTGGGTTATGGCTACGCTTCTCCCTATTCCTATGGACACTACGGATACGGATACTACTGAACAAATCTTAGTTCATAGTTATTAAGCTTTACTTCTACCACTTTGTTTTACCAGTTTTTTATTCTATAAATTTTATTATGGATGCCTGTTAATTTCAAATGTAAAAACAGAATAAAAACTTTTCAAAAATATTTATTTCTATTATTTTTTAACTGAACTGTTGAAATGTTGCCAACTCTTTGCTCTTTTTGAAAAAAGAACTCGGTGGGAGTAATTAATTGTACTAGAAATTGATGAAAGACAGTTAAGACTGTAAAATTGTACATAACAAAAAATAAAAAATATTTCTGTTTGTGTTTAAAAAGTCAGGTCATTATATCTTCAAATAATTAATAAAATACTGAAAACAAGCCTTGTTTTAAGTGATTTTCGATTTAAATATTTCTAATGTTAATGGGATATAAATTTTATTGTACATACCTGGACTTTTTATTTTAGACATTTTACTAAATCATTTAAAGTGTTATATTAAAACAAAAACTAAACCAAGCAAGGTTTGAATAAAAAAAATATTTCCTGGTGCATTTATTTTTATGATGCAGTTGGTTTTGAGTCACCAGCGACATTTAAAGTGAATAAAAATCTACATAAAATCATGGTGCATAAGAAATACCGTCAAAACAGTTTTAAATATAGGTCGACCAGAAATTAACATATTTTGTTTAGTTGTTTTTGGAGTTTTAAATATCAAATAACACTAGGTAAATTAAAGAAGGATCTGAGAATTCTACACTGCCTTGATATGAAAGTTTTGTTACACCTAATAAGATTGCCGTTGTTTGGCAAAAATTACCTTTTGCTCACAGTAAAATTGTTTAAAGAAATACAATTAGTGTACTTGTTCCAAAATTGTTACTTGTGGAAATTAAAAATATATTAATTAAAAATACTAATTCTGTTAAATAGTGAAAAATATACACTAAAAAAATTTGTCTACTAAAGATGCATTTCTGAATAGTTATATGCAAATATGTAAGTAATCTTAATCTTTTAGTTAAATTTACAATTAGCGTATTTTTAAAATATAAGGTATAATATAGCCACCTTCATAATAATGTGAAGCAATTGTTAATAATTAACTTACTTAACTATGCAGAACAACATTGAAATTTAATTTTATAAGATAGTAATCTTAAAATTTAAGGTTTTATTTTACAGCAAAACGTGTTATTTTAATTGGAATCTGAGATTTATGTCTTGTCAAATGATAAAATTTCTTTGTTTCATTCTGCTAATTAAAATGTAAAACTTGTCAGTCAGCTATTTATTTTTTATTTCCTACCTCAATAAAAAAATATAAAGTATGTAATTACCCAAATTGATTTATTTAGCTGAAATTGATACAATTTACAAAGTTTATTCCCAGCCATTCCGAACAAACATTATCTATTATTAATAAAACCCATATCCGTAAGAACCATATCCATAGGGATAGCCGTATCCAAGAGAGGAGTATCCCAGACCAGAATAGCCGTCTAATCCTCCATAAAGTCCCCCATAAATTTGAGGGACTGGTTTTGGAGCAGCAAAGGCAAAGGCGAGAAGAGCAAAAAATACAAACTACAAAAATATTATAATTTAGCAACTAAAATTATTATTTAACATAATATTAAATCATTATAAATAAATAAGACACTTACGAGTTTGAACATTTTGATCGTTTCGTAAAACACTGATATTATTCTTCAAATGTCACCATTATTTATATAAAATTTATATAAAGGAAGGAGTAAAGTACTGCAAGGAAAAATACAAGTCATCGGTGATCAAGTCTATTAACGGTAAAAACTGGAATAGGGTAATTTTAACTTTAATGACTAGCACAACAACAATTAACCACTTAAAGTTGAAATAATAATATTTTTGTTTATTTATTAAACCACGAAGGAATAAAAATAACGGGTTTATTTTTCATTTTATATACCTGCAAAAATAAAGACCGTTTTTTTGGATTATTAGAAAATAGAGACTAAATAGCTTAATTGTTTAAACAGAAAAAAATTCATTTCTTTGCTACAATTTTGCACCCTTTAAGTGTCTTTAATAATTTTTTAGCAGTTTTATTATTGAAATAGTTTCCTTTTCCATAAAAAGCAATCAACCGTTATGTTCAACACTTCAACAGTCTTACAATTAATAAATAGCAGAAACAGATGTTTTTAAACCTTTTTTATTCAGTTTTACATTTGAAGTTAACAGATATGCATAATAAAATTTATAGAATCAAAAACTGGTAAAACAAAGTGGTAGGAGTAAAGCTTATCAACTAATTTCTGAGATTTGTTCAGTAGTATCCGTATCCGTAGTGTCCGTAGGAATAGGGAGAAGCGTAACCGTAACCCAAAGCTCCTCCATATCCTGCATATCCCAAACCATGATGGTAGCCCAAACCGCCATAATATCCTCCGAAGTACTGAGGTTCAGCTTTCGGGGCGGCGAAGGCGAAGGCAACAAGGGCCAAAAATACGAACTAAAATATTGCAAAATAAATTATAAACTAATAAAATTTTAAAATAAGAATTACTTACAAGTTTGAACATCTTGTTGTAGGATTAGACAATACTGGATCAGCTAACTGTGATGATTCTCTTATTTTTCCCCAATATTTATACCAAAATCAAGACAATAATGAGTGGGGATAACGGAGACAAATTTGTCCCTCATAACAAAACACCAGAAAAGTTTAAATCAATCACAGAAATTTATTTGATGACATTTAAGTTCATTGTGAATAAATGTATATCATTAGCTCCTTGCTATAAATTAGGAAACTTTTGAGCTAGATGGTTTAATATGCCAATACACTAAATTATATGTTTATTAAGTTGCCCACTTTTAAATGTCTTATTTTATTACAAATTCAATATTGGTGAATATGTTAACTAAATGGCTTCTTATCGATAACCACGATTTAGTTAGTAAACAAAATGATTTAATTTGTTTATTCAATTTTTTAGGAAAATCATTCTAGATTCTCTTTTAACAAAAGTAGGTGGTTGTCTTTAAAAATACAGGGTTATTCACAAATATGAAGCAATGTTTGAACCTTAAAAATGACCTATAAAATAATGTTAATTAATAACTCGTTAAAAAATAACTCGTGTCCTATTTCTACTGATAAGAATTTTAAAGCCCTCGGAATGTGGGTATGGAAATTTGTTTTTTTTTGTAATAACTTCGGAACCAGATATTATAAAATTTAGAATCGTTACTTGCGAGAACATACTTTTAAATTAGTAATTACGAAAACCGGATACATCTACTCAATTTCCGGTTCCAGCAATTGCAGGTCATATTTTCTGTGTTTTTTCGTTTTTTGGCCTCTTAACATTTTTTTTGGTCACAACAATAGAGTAATCAATTTTGAATGAAAAACGCTTAATCTTTAATACCTCTAAAATGAACCGTTTTAAAGATATTTTAATTTAAAGTAAGAACTATACAACACTGAAAGCAAAAATATGATTTTTGAATGAATGATATCAACGGCAACAAATGACCATGGTCACATATTTTGCTGTCAGGTATCTGTCAACTTGAGATTGGACGATTATTAGACGATTAATCCAAAATATTTAATAAAAGAGTTTACCTCAGACTCCAGACATAACTAAGAATAAATCCAAATGGATCTCGTAGCATTTAATTCATAAAAAATTCACAAAAATTTATCGTCAAAATTAACAGATGCCTGGCAGGAATTTATGTGACCATGGTCATTGGTTACCGTAGATACCTCTCATTCACAATTCATAGTTTTTGCTTTCAGCGTTATGCAGTCTTCACTTTAAATTAAAATATCTTTAAAATGGTCCATTTTAGTGGTATAAAAAGTTATGCGTTTTTTAATCGAAACTTTTAGAATATTTTGTATTTATTTTTCTTTCTTTTAATAATTTGTGGCAACATTAGCAATTAGCTACTTAGTTCTGACTCTACGGCAGTTAGCAAAAGTTAATTAAAAAAATTACATTGTCATAAGCGATTAAAAATTAATGTTTTGCATTTTTATGTCTCAACATCATTTGAAACTAGCGCCAACCCCAAATGAGTTTCAAGATAAAAAAAAAAGTAAAATCAAAGTCGTTAAATTTTTCATTTGTGTATAAAATAGAGTTAATTAGGAAATAGTGATAACATTTTGAAAGCAAAGTTTTTATAACAATCTAATTGTTTCTCAGACTTTTATTTATTTATTATTTTTYTAATTATCTGTGTTTGTTTCTTTGATGCCCACTTGTCCACTAAACGCYAGTCTTAAATCACATTCCAGATGTGCATTCATTATTATGCTGATTGCTAAGAGATTAAAGTATTAAAATATTGTTCTTTCATTTCTATAAAAACCAAAATACATAATTTGCATTTTGCATTTTTGATAGAATTTGCAATTTAAATTAATTTTACAGCTAGAAATATGTTGTCTTAAATAAATTTCGCAGCTAGTCATACATGCCATTATATAACATTTTTTTAAATGTTAAAGTACTTTTTCTTAAATAAATTTTTTCAAGCACTTGAAATTATTAATAAAAATAATAAATTTTAGAGAAATATTGACTAAAAATTTTTATTATTGAAAAATGTATACCAAAAATTGTTTCTATTACCTACCTTAGATTTTTATAAACTTAAATTCGTAATCTCAAAGTTTTGCCATCACAATCTTAGAGGTATTTTAAGGGCTTTTTTAAAAGCTTTTAAAATAGACATTTCTATTATAGGTTTGTGTTTGTCTTTATGTCAATGAAACACACATATTTTTTGATTTTTTCATTTTTTAATTCTAAATCTAAGTTGAAGTGTGTACATGATTAGAGGCCTATTTCATCAGTAATAGTAAGATCCATAGCCACCGTAGGCGTAGGGAGCAGCGTATCCGTGTCCATAACCAATGGCAGAGTATCCCAAACCTCCATAGCCTCCATAGTAGAATTGGGGTTGGGGTTCAGCCTTGGGGACGGCAAAAGCGATGGCCAAAAGGGCAAAGAAGAAAAGCTGTAACAATTAATACATTTAATTATTTAAAGGAATCTAATGACATCAGACCTAACTTACCAATTTGAACATGTTGATGGTTGTTGGGTTGACTTGTGCAAAATCAAATCTGATTTTACTCGCAAATACTCTGCGGTTTTATAGTGGTTTCTTTGGGGGTGTGTCAGGTGTTGTTCTGGAAAATAAGACTGGTGTACACACCCATCAAAATCATGCTAATTGGGTCAAGTTTTTTTTAAGTGGTTTATGTTTAAACCACTTTTTTATGAATAATGTATTAATGAACACATTATCACGTTTATGAGGGGGTTTTCTTAATCTACGCATGCTTATAATTAATCAACAACATACGTTAGTATTTGTTATTTATTAACAAAGCTATTGTCTAGTTTGTAATTTTAGATATTCTCAAAAGTTTTTTAACTATTTTAAAAGATCCAATATACAGGGTTGTTCGTTTTTCGAGCTCCACCATGGGGATCTCAGTTCTTATAAGAGATACGAAGTCGGTTATTATTTAATGTGTCATTTTTAGTTTTTGAATTATTAGAAAAAAACGGAAATTTGTAATTTTTTATTTTTTCAAGCGAAAACTAAAAGACTTTAACTAAGACGTTCTTAAGGCACTTTTTTACAAAGAATCTAAATCTGACACCGTATTTTTCAAGGTTTCAACCCACAGAAAAATTTGTAACACATTTTAAACTGCAAACGGTGATTTATTTTTTATTAATTATGCCCATAATAGTATATTAAAATACAAGTTGCAAAAAGTATATTAAAGTACAAGTTGAGGAACAAATGAGTGCTTGAAGAACTTTCTGCAACAAGTGCTTTATACTTTTTTTCTATTTTGCCGCTTTAATAATTGTTTAATAATTTTAGGCGACTATTAAATTAACGCCAACTTGTTAAAGCACTCAAATGACGTTATTTGGGTGCTGGAATAGACTTATTCTAAACGCAAAATAGAAAAAAACATTTCAACAATTTTTATTTATTATTATGACTATCAAATCTTTCAAATTTCTGGGATTCATTGACATATTTTTTTTCTAATTTCTCATAATAATGAAAATATTGTTTTTGTAAATTTTGTTTGGAAAATAGTTTGCAAAATATTTTATTTTGTAGTATATTATAATTAATAACTATAATATACTATTATGAATGAAAAAATATTTAGGCTCTTTATGAATACAAAAAATTGTGGAAAATTGTGTCGAAATAATAAGCTGTCATTGCACTGGGTTTAATTTTCTATTGTTATAGTAACTTTTATTTATTTTTTGTGTTTTTTTACAAATATCAAAATATTTTTCAATTCCGCCTGGAACTGGAACATCTGTATATTTCTATCATATCAGTTTATGAAAAAAATCAAGAACACGGACAAGTATAAATAAATTGTAGTCTAATTATAATTTCGACAAATTAAAAGAGACGTGTAGCTGTTTAAAAAACTCACTGAAACTGTTTTACCTAGTTGTAAAAATATTATTTTCAATTATTTAATTTCTCAGAGGCCAGACGAAAAAATGGATGATTCACGTTGTGTAAAAACTTATATGTTTTTTATTCTTCATTTAATCGTCATTGATTAATTGGTATGCAACGTCATTAAACATATTTATAACTGGATCCGATATAAACGAGTAGGTAGGTATTAAGCTTCCTGCTGATGTGTAACCGCAACTTTTTATAACACTTTTTAATACAGTTAATGAAGCAGATGGCATTGCATCGACGAATGCCATTATGACATTTAATGACGAATGCAGTATTTAAAAAATAGAAAAAAAGGTTTTATAAAAAAAATAAAACATATTTGGGATTATTTTTCGGATCATAAGTACTTTATTTTTTTAGTTTTTACATATTATAATTATTATTTTTCAGCAAACATCTTTTTTCATTTTCAGTAGAAATAATGTCCTACATAGGGGGAAACATGACCGTAAACACCGCTGTAGCCAACATGAGAATAAACTGGATGATGAGAGTAAACAACTTGGGGTTGAGCCTCGGGTTGTGGCAAGGCAAGGGCAAAAGCCACCAAAGCCAAGAATACAAACTACAAAAATCAATTGTTTATTAATTACACTAATAAAATTAAAAAATACAATACTTACAAGTTTGAACATTTTGATATGTAGTAGATCTGCAAAATCTAACATAGAAATTGGAATATTACGTCGGTTATATAAGACATAAAACAGGTGTGTCGGGAAGAATGACACACCTAGAGATATTAATTAGGTCAAGTATTGTTTTGGTTTCCTTTTTGTTTTTTCTATAAATTTTACTTTGTAATTTTATTGTTGCTATATTACGTAAAAAACTGCTTTTATTGTTTTAGACCAAAAATCAGAAACTGGTTTTGAGGCACAAAACAAGTGGTTCTGGGATAGTTTGTTAAATGTTTTTTCACATTTTTTATCTTTTCGTTTTAAGATCAATAAAACAATTCAACGGTCAAATGTTTTATTACTACACTTTTCTACAATAAAATGCTGAAATTACAAAAATAAAATAATATCTAATAATATAATCCGTAACCATAAGAGTAAGGGCTATAGCCGTATCCTGCATAAGAATAAGGGTATGAACCGTAATACAGTTGTGGTTGTGGTGCAGGGACTGGAACTCCGACTGCAAGGGTAATCAACAGGATTACCACAAGTAAAAACTAAAAATACAATTATTTTTATAACTGGAGAATTGATTTCTACTTATAGTTACCTTAAACATGATGCTGTTCTTTACAAACTGAAGATGTACTATGACTGTAATATACCCATCTTAAAATCTTTTATATAAAGCAAAGCGGCCTATTATTATTCAAAGATGTTATTTTTTAAAAACAAGACATGTGTTGCAAACGAAATGACAAATTCATGAATTACCATTTAACTACGTACTAGCCAATAATTCAAAATTCGTATCCCGGATCTAATTTTGAAAATTGACCGTTGTATAAAATTATTGATGCTGAGCTATGACCAATTTAAATCATAACACCTGTTCGATGATTTCTCAGTAAGAACAAGGTTATCATGTTAATCAGTAAATATGATCAACAAAATTATACACTTCATCATAATTATTTCTGTCGCAGTTATTATTAAAAAAGTGAAACTAAAACAAAGTTTGACTTTAAGAATAAAGCAGGCAGGATGTATTTTTTAATCGCATTGTCCGAGTAATCCGCCTACAGAAGGTTTCTTGTTTTAATAAAGGTAAGAAAACGTTACGAAAAGTTGCACATTTTGAGTAACTCCTTTCTCTTCCTTGGTGATACAAACTTTAGGTCACTAATTTATTTATCAGGAACGAAATCGATAATTAAGTATGCAGGGGGCAACTGTTGACATAATTTGTCAACAGACAGCCTTGTAAAACAAACTCTCTTGCATACAAAATTTCAGTTTATTCATTCCTCCTTGTTCTGGAAATATCTACCGTTTTTAAAGAGTGTTCTCGGAATCACATGTTTTAAAAAGATCGCAAATATGGAATTGACATTTCATCGTCAACTCTAAAAAAATCTGTTTTCTACATTTTTCCGAAGCTACTAAACGAGTTTTAGCTATTAATTTAGCATTTGTTAGGCAAACAATCAATTTTACATATTCCATTATTGGCAGTTTCGACAAGCGTTGAATCAATTTAGATAGGTTTGATGATATAAAGTTTTATGTCTCATATCTGCCGGGGGTTACAAATGAACTTCAAATTTCGGGCTGAATGCCAAGGACGTGATCTTCAATAATTATGCAGAATATTTTGTTTTAATAATTTGACCAATTTGTGACCAGTTCTAAAGTGTAATGTAAAAATAAAAGCAGTTTTACATTTTAAAGTGCAATAAGGACTTTTTTAAGGATATCAAGACTGCATCAAAGTTTCCAGTTTATTAATTAATAATAAATTAACATAAAGCCATAAAATACCAAACGAAATTGATATTTCAAGTTTTTGTAACGATTTTTACTTTCAACATAAATTATAAAATCCCAATATTTAAAAAGCTGTATTTTTGACACCCATAAAATTGACGAAGGTCCTTCCGCAACAATCCGTTGACAAATTAGCTCTTCAATCACCTACTCGAGTTGCAAACGTCATCAATATGTATCCTGATTGTTACAAAGGATGTTAATGCCCTAAGAACGACCACACCCGGCGTTTTTACAGACTCCACGGTCGACCGCTTTTTTCGGTTAATTCACGGTTCACAGAAAAATATTCCACATAGAATGTTAAAGAGCTTCATGAGTACATCAAAATGTCACTTATTCTTAAGGAGACGACTTTTTTCTTAAAGCATTATAATCTAAAAGAATCACGCAAGGTAACTTTTTAACTTAATAGCACTTCTCTTGAAATGCATTGAAACTTTTTCTTTACGTATACAACTGCAGGAAATAAAATTAAATTGCCCTAAAAAAACTAAGTTAAAATAAAAATGAGAAATGATTTAGTTATTGTCATTTTATCTAAAGAAACAGAAAATTATTTTTATTTTATGTGGTATTTTTTTTGTAGTGTAAATCTTGTAACAACTGTATTTTTTAATTATTTGAAAAGTCTTGGTAAGTGGTTGGTATTGTTCTCACTGCAGCGTTTGAATAGATAAATGTGAACACAGAAGTATATTCCAAGTTGCCTATACAAAACGTTTTTTAAATTATTTCTACATTTAGATTCAATTCAATCAGTTTAATAAAACATCTGGATGTCTGTCAATGTTGTACATTTTGTTCGATATTTGAATGGGATAAAGGCCAACGACGGAAACCCTCCAAGAGTATGATCGTCACGATTATGTAATGCATGTTATTGTCCGTTTTTTTCCGTACCTACTTTATTTACACAAGCAAAGTTCAACAACCATTTCGGAAAATTGCCGCTTTGATAAAAATAAAGGGTGAATATTCTCCGACTGAAAAAAAGTGCGAGTAAGTTAACGTATGTTTAACGATTTTCGTTTACGTTAAAATAGTGGCGAATATTAGAAAACAACGTTTTGCTACGCATTTTCCCTCACATCCACATATCTACGCAAATATTTATACCTGCAACTCTAATTTCAGTTCAGCTGAAAAACATCATCGGGTGTGTTTGTAGTTCACATCGATAATCTGTCAATTTTAGGATTGAATCAGGATCATGAAGCGTTATAAACATGTTTTTAGCAATGTTTAATGTGTAAAAACAACTATCAAAATAAGCAATTTTTTTTAAGTGATATTTATTGCTGCAATTTCACGAAATAGTGAAATATTATTTTTATACTGTGTTTATCCATAACCTGCGACAACCATTTGATAAGTCACCCGTTGGGATTTAGAGCGTTCAATACAATTATGTGATCTCCCTGGATAGCAAATTAAGACTTATAAATTTGTTATTCAATACTTTGAAGAAGACTGCTTCGTTATTCAATGTTTGTTTCGTTGACCAAGGACAAGATCATCATAATTATTCGTGTGTCTTTTATTTTTTACGTCTCACAATCAAACGGTCTGATTGAAACTGAATAATAAAATCAGCGTTCCAAAATTAACAAATCTCAACAAAATAAATATATTTCCTTTTAAAAATCAAATCAATGTGCACTAGGTACTACTAGCCCTTTTTCTAACACAAAGAGAAAACATGCCATTTATAGCAACTTATTATTATTTTTATTATTTGACAGAAAACAAGTCAAGTTGCAAACAAATAAATTATATACTATAAATCAATTATACCTACAACCTGCTGTTTTTATGTTAATTGATTTAATTTTTACCCCGATAATTGCTTTATAGAAATATGTTGTAAATAAATCATTCTAGAACTCGCAGTTTGCATCAGAAATAAGAAAGACTTTAATTTAACCCGATTTGACCTGACCTCTTGCAGTGCCAACTTATGTCTCACTAAATTCAGTGCTTTCAACCGCATTTTTTATTAACAATCAGAAGTACATTCTTACTTTTTTCATTTGCAATTACTCTCTTAACGATTCATTGACTTATATTGGGTTATTCTTCTACCCACTTATAAAGCAGAAACTCCAATAGTTACCTGAAATTCAGCAAAGAAAAAAAAAGATAATTACAAGCACATACAAGTAATAAAAAAGTTAACGACAGGAGTATTTTCAGCAACTTTGTTTAGAGGTTACTGGTGGTAGACATTTGATCTTTCTCTAATTATCGCATAATTACTGTTTAGTAAAATGGTTAAATTATTAATTTCACGTCGACAACTCTTGTTTATGACATTTAATTCGCACGTGGATCGTTTTCCTTGTTTATCCTATAGCTAAATAGCAAAATTTACGCGTAGTTGTTCTTATTTAAATAGTCTTGTTTTGTATTACCTAAATAATTTCTTCTGAAACAAGTAGCCGCTCTTATTCTAAAAGAAGGAAGTCAATAAATAAGTCAGTCTCACAATTCAGAGAATTTTATATTTAAAATTATTATAAAATGTATTATTATTTTTATTTTAATAAAAAAATAGAATACCTACATACATAATAAAAAGACTTAACTGAATAATATTGCTTTTATAACAACGCATTATTATTTTCAAGGAAGTTTCGGTAGCGTCTCCTTTCTGTTAACATTTAAAAAAAATTCCAAATATATTGTGTGATATACATATGTAAGGTTTTAACTGTTGGATTGTAAAAGGCATTGAAGACGAGGTGAATGACATCCGCGATTTGTAAATAAAAAAATGAGATTTATTAAATTATCTCTATATGATTCGCAAAAAGAATACCAGTTGCACATAATAGTCACAATAATAGACTTATCTTTTGGCACAATAAAGACACAAGACGTAAATCTAGTTTACTCGTTTTCACGAATAATACTGTTTTCGAGTAAGCTTCTGAAAGCTTTGCTGCCATGCTTTAAAGGTTTTCTCTTACACGAAAACTATCAAAATAAATAGGAAAATTAAAATTAACAATGTAAAATCAACTAGATTCCCTTTAAAACAATGTGGTAAATAAGGATTGTATCCCAGATATTATTGTTCCACCTGTTGCTACTGTAGTTGAAAGACACTAATGTTGAGTAACACTATGCAACGGCCATAAGCTAATTTTAGTCAATTTGAAAATGCTAAGTGTACAGGGTGATTCTTAAATAAACCGCCAAAGTTTTATCCTTGGTAGTATCAAATGAGTACATGCTGGAAGAAATAGTAAAAAACTCTTTGTTTAACAGTTTTCAAAATAAAATTCATTACAGTTATGTTAAAGCGAACGCCATTGTGTTCGTAAATAGCATTACTACAGTTAGTAAAAACCTCGGTAGAAACCATAATAATAATTTGATAAAAATGTACATCATTGCAACAATTCATAAACGCCGTAAGTGGCACGGGTCAAGATGGTTGTATCCCTAAAAGATCTAAACGTAACAAGGGTACAGATCATCTCCTCTTATCCTTAGGAAGCTGTGTTAAAATTTTGTCGGTCTATTAAAGAATCACCCTCTATTTTTGAAATCAAAATTGTGTAGTTCGCTCGTTTTATAGTCTCATGTGTTTTTTACATTTTTACAAAAATTGTGTTAATTTATTGCTAGGGAAATGTAGAAACGTAATGCTCCCATGCTCGCAGGTTGCTATTGTAGAGTCAGAAAGACTTCAATAAACATTATAATTACATATCAAGAAACATATTAAATTGGATAATGCTCCACAGCTTAACTTATTAAAGAAAATGCAATTATAAATATACAGTATGTCCCTGGATTGAGTTTACAAGAGGAAAAATTTTTTATCTTTGATTTTACGCCAAAACTGCAAAGCAAAAACATTTTGTTTACTTTCAGTAAACTAAATCCGGGGACATACGGTATATCTACATAATTGTAGTATCTTTTTTTCTAATTTTCTTACTCGTAGCATTCGCTTACTGTGTTACTTTTATTGCGTCGTCAATACATTTTCCGTTCGTAAAATCATGAAATTGAAAAAGACAACTTGTCGTTCGCCATGATTACAACATAATGTAAGTACACGTGAAATTGAAAATGGTAATATTGCGTATGTACTTAATTATTAATTTGGTTCAGTAACGTGATCGTTTAAAGAAATTCAACGTGAAACATCACGTTATTTGCGGAGCAATACTGCAGGTGAGTTCTAATTTCACGTGATCTTTCTAATGATTTACGTGCGTCTTAAGTCGTTTGAATAATTAACAAGTTTAATTGCAAAACTTTTGAAAATAATTTAACATTATGCAAGAAAATAAACTCTGGATGCACGTTTTTTTTTTACTTAACAAATTGCTCATTCCGGAAAAGAATAACAAGCATCATATCATGCTTGTTAGTCTTAGTTGATCTTCCTCTTACCCGTCCCGCGTAATAAGACACCTGTCGCGCAAAATTTTTTGTTATTGCGTTTAACATCCCCTATCATAGGCATTTATTAGCCCTACGTCGATAGCTCGTCGTCTCGTCCACGTGCTCCAACCCTACCACCTCAGAGCTTGCGCAAAAACTGCAACCCCACATTGGCGTCGTCTATAAAACCGGACGTAAACACAGCCACCGCAGTCTGATCAACCCCCGTGCAAAGTTCAAACAATCATGAATTCAGTGATCCCGCCGACTGACAACACCGTGGTGTTAATAACGCTAAATACCTCAGAAAATCGCAGTGTGTCTCCTATGACGCCGTCGCCCTCCAGGGAAATCCGAGGCATAAGACTCTTCCGGGCCATCAGCCGCAAACTGGCGCGCCGTTCCAACGAGGACCTCAACACCGACGTGGACAGTCGTTCCTCCAGCTCCGACTCCTGCTCGTCGACTAAGAAGGAGCACCTTTCCGGAGACTCCGGGTTTCGGTCGGTGTCCCCCAACCACTCCAGTAGCTCAAGTGAAGCCGGGAGCGACCTCCAGGTGCGCCCTCGACACCACCACTCGACTTCGGCCGACAGCATTAGAAGAGTGTTTCAAAATCTGAACCTAAACAGCCGGTCGCAGAGCTGCACCAATGCCAAAGAGACCAAGAGGAAAAATAGCAAGAAGTCGACTCCGAAGCGGATTTTGAGGTCGCCAGTGACTTACACGTATGTGAAAGGGTTGTCGGGACTGCCGACGCAGAGGATTCCCAAGAACCAGTCGAGGATGTACATGAACAATCCGTGCGGTTGCAGTATACAATACATGGCCGGTTTGAATCGATAATTTTTTAATGTCGATGACTACCTGAGTTGTGACTGCAGCAATATGTGCGTCTCTATTATCCTAAGACTCAAGACTGTAACGAAGGAGAGAATTCTTCCAATCCAATAGATTTAAGATTTGTAAATAAATCAACGTTTTTATAAGTATCTATGTTGAAATGTTGTTGACACAGTTATATCTTACACCATGTATACTATATTAAGGGACTCAATGATTCAAGTAGGCTCTAATTAATGGAATTCAATTACAAAAAATGTACTTATACAGCACCAATGTCAGTTTATAATGGTACAAATGTTGTGTATGCCTAATTCTATATTGATTCTGTATCTTTTACAGTTTACTATTGTTCGTATAAAAGCACTGACTATTCGAATTATGCAAATCCCCACTTAGTGCCTTGTAGCTGTCGACCCTATTAAACATTCAAATTAATTTAAATGATTTATTACCCTCATTCCTATAATATTTAATATAATTAACCCAAAAACAAAGCGATTACTGATGTAAGCAAATCAAAAATAAAAAAGTCTTTTTATTTATAGTCGTAATACGTCATCAGTATTACGAGAAAAGTACTCGAGAACAAGCTAACTATCTAACAGCTTTTTTAGAAAAAGTAATTTTTCTCAAGCTTAATAATTAAACAGATTTTAACTGGTTCTTATTTTACTTGACAATGAAAATTTATTTAAATGAAATAGAATCCCAACAGAGTTTTGAAAATAAGAAGTTGGGGTTATCGATAACATCCTTAAGTAGGTCACAACAACAAGTATCAAAATCATAATTTGATCGTATCGGAAAAATATACTTCCACCACAAAAGAAATCAGAATATTTTTTTCAACAATTATTACATTAATTTATCAACTTCATGAATTACACTAGTTTACAAATAACACCTTTAATCAAATTATTATTTCTATGTTTCTTTACCTTTAATTAAACAAAAATAGTATCATGTCACAGTTTTTTGTTACGGTTTAAAATTTATTTATAATTCAAATTGTTGCTAAATTATTGCTACATTATCACCAGATCGGTCTAAATGGGTTTTAAAATACATTTCATTGATTTGCATTTGGACTTCTTTTCTAAAAACTTAGGCAGCATGAGTGACGAACAGGGTGAAAATTTTCACAAAAATCTGAAGGGTTTTCAAAGATATGTACAAAGGGTTTTGGGATGAAAATATGTTAGGAGATTACTGTTGGACTGTTATAAAGAAAACAGATCCAAAACAGTATAGAAAACAAAGTAAAATAATTTATTTTTAATTTGTTGTTTAACGATTTTTGTGTTTTTGTTAATAACTTATTTCTTAAACGTGACGTAGTGAACTTTTTTAAATATTTTTTGGTACTCAGTGCTGAGAAATTAAAACTTTCAGTTAAGGTGTTAAGGTATAAAAATCGTGTAAACTAGTGTTATAATTAAAGATTTAAAAAATTCCTTTTTGCTGAAACAGCAGTTCTAAGCTTTTTTTTTTTAATAAATATCACATATTAGACGAAGCATTAATTATTAAACCTGTAATCAATAAATGCCTAATTTTCTTTGCCGTTTTCCGATTTCTTGCCTCAAGCGGTCTACCAAGATTTCAATTATTTTCAATTCTCAAAAGGAATTGTTCTTGCTAGAATTTGAGTTGAAAATTTTATGAAACATTTTCATCATGTACAGCTATTTTCGGTTAAGGTTAGTTTTAGTCAAAGTTACCTTTAGTCAAATTTTCTTAACATTCACAACATAAATCACTTGTTTTTAAACAATCCTTTAAATTACAAAAATCTTTCAATTGCAAGACCACTTAACTAGACTTTTAATTAAACTTAAAGTTATGTAGATTAGATAAACATATTTCCTTGTAGATATAAAAAAAGGGCAATTCAAAAAAATTGGCAAAATAGGTTTCTCCAACAATTATACCAATTATTCGAATATTTCTGCAATAACAAAATGCATTCAAGTGGCTTTTCTTGCTTTTAAATGAGAGTTTTAAGAATTTTAATTATTTCTTTGCAAATATCACATACATTAGAGAGATTAATAATAAAATTTAAAAAAAAAAGTTTTAAATCATTTGTTTTTCATTTTCTTTAACAAATTTATTTGAACCGAAATTTTGATCAAAAATTCTCACCATATACAGCAATCTAAGCTAATTTTTTAACCAATTCCCACTTGAGTCAACTCAACCTTTCAATGTTTCCAAAGCTCCACGAACATTAAAGAGAATAATAACCTAAAGCACATGTGTCAATTTCATATAAATGAAATTTTTTTATTACACATTGTAGAAATTTCACTGTGAATATTCCCTCAGCACCTCCACTGCTTGCAACTAATCAAAAGCAGATTTGTATAATAAGTTAATTATAATTAGTGTAACGGTGATACAATAAACATTACTTATTTTTGCAGTAAAACATGAAATATGTATAAAGCCAGTCTATTTAGATCAAAATTGTGATACTAATTAGATACCATTAATATCAGACGAACAAAAATGAATCGAAAACATAAATTCAACTTCTCTTTGAGATCAAAATAAAAATTTATTTTACCACCGAACTTGTCGTTTTTATAGCTTACAAAGTTTAACGACCTTTATCCCCGTTCAATTGAATTTCCCCATTCAAATTTACATGATTGAAGTAAGCAAAAAATAATTCGTTTATTTCCATATTTAACACATTTAAGAGCTTTCAGCGGACGTGAATCCCATCACACATCACATTTCATAATTTTTATCCAAACAACATTCCACTTTATCGGTATTTGACCATTATTTATGTTTTACATTTCTATGGTGGTAGTGGTGGTGTCGGATTTATCAAACAAACTGATGAAATTGAAGTCTGGAATAACTCTAATTTGTGACAACTTAAACGCAAATGTATTGTTAGTATGTATAATCAAATAATTTTATACATAAAATTATTTTCCAACATCGCAAATTGTTGAATTTCACCTACATCTACCCACACCCCACACAGTGAATATACCTAACGATTCTTTCAGGAAACATCAGACATTCTACTGGTGTTGCTATAAATAGATGCGGCTTTGAATCCTCCTATTAGTGTTTCAATTAAACACAGGCCTTATCTTTTGCATTATTGTCTTATAAAGGTTTATAAAGCGAATGAAGTCAAACAACAATAGCAAAGTTATGAATGAAAGTCGTCAACGAAAATAATGTAAATTTTAGTTTGTGAGTGTGAAGTGGATATTGTGTGTTTTTTAAATAAATAATTAATAACAAAAGCCTTAAAACAAACCTCTGCGTTTGACACGAAGTCGAAGCGCTTTAGAACTTTACACTCGTGTGATTCAGAACATTATTCCGAACGAAAATGAGTTTTTTTTACATAATAAATTAAAAAGCTCATATTCGTATATTTTGGTTTCTGTGTTGTAGCTTAAATATCGTAGCTGGAAGAAAATTATGAAAAACTTGAACAAAACATGAAAAATCAAGACAACCCTGAACATGTCCCGGTTACACCAGAACACTTGATTTAATTACTTTTCTCAGAAAAGAAGACCGTTATGGTAAAAAATGGTTTTTCCTATTTATACTTATTATCTGAAATAATTTTTATTCGCATACGTCAGCAAAATGACCTTTTGATGTCTAAATGACAGGAGTAAAAATTTTACCTTTCAGGCAAGGAGTAAAAACTTTATTTTTCCGCCTAAGCGTTTTTACTTTTACCATGCAGCATTCGACATTTTGCACTACAAACTACACTAGTAGTGTTGTTTGTTATGATTTCATTGCAAAACGTTCTGATTATTTTGTTCATTTACTTGCTAATTATTATCTTGCTCTTTACTCTCAATCTAATACGTTTGCAGATAAAATACATAGTATATCCTCGGATTGAGTTTACAAGAGGAAAAATTTTTTTATCTTTGATTTTACGCCAAAACTGCATTTAAATTTTTTTAAAAGGATTAATAACCATTGTTTACCTATACATAAATTAAGGGACCAGAAATAAAAAAAATAATCTACAATAATGGGAAACTATAAGGGAAATGAGGATTTGAGGAATATACTTAGGTATAATACATATACTATTAAAAATGTTCTCTCAATTACGTTTTTGATATTTTCATTTACATTTTATTCGTTTAGTTAACAAAACTTAGCCACTAAGCAAATGAATATTAAAAATCAATTTATCCTGTATTTTTCCATTGTTTTGAAGCATTCTTTCTTTTATTGAAGTAAAAATTTTTTGAAGGATACAAAAACACCTTCAGAAAATGTAGGTCAGGTCAGGACAAAAATCAGAAAAAGTTCACATTTATATTCGAGAAAATATGAACATAACTCCTTTATGTAAGACTTCTACATTTTTGCCCAGTTTCTTTTATAAAAATTTAGTTTCTTAGAAATCAATCTTATTTGATTTTTATTTGTAACAATAAGAAAATTAAAATTATTAAGACGGTTGAGTGACAAAAATTCTATACAGCTTCATTAATCTCTTACATAACTCCTGATTTATTCCTGAAATACAAACAAGCAAAATACCAACGACCTCGGCCCGGTCACCGGCCTAGATTTTGTAAGGGATGACCCACTTTCAGATATACATCTCCCCATGACGTCATTATATTCCCCTTCTGACGTCATTTTACTCAACTAGGTAACCCGGACAACCAGCCAAATTCATTTTTTTAAAGAAATGAATGGAAAATGTGTCCCTCAAGTACCAATAATTACAAAAGTGAGCAACAGGGCTCTTTTACTATTTTATAATCCAATTGTGAAACAATTTGTAAAGAAAAAAAACGTAATTTCGTGACGCACTTCAAATAAAGTTTGTAAAAGTGTTTGTTGATCTAGCAAATACAGGAATTCCTGTAAAAATAAACAATGACGCATTTTTAAGAGAGGTTTTTATCGATAATTACATATAAGTGCGTCTTTTAACGATCTGTGCAGCCATGACGTAAAGATCATTCAAGGCACCAAACACAGGAATGACCTAGTGACCCGAAATTTCATCCCCTCCAACTTCATTCACGTCCCGGAGTTTACCGCTCCCGACGATTCCCTGGCTAAATATAGCTCAGGAGTCAATGAACTACAGAATTGGGTCGTCGATCCTGGCGTGGCCTCTTCCCCTTTCTTCCTTGCAGCATCCAGGATTGTCTACCGCATCACAATCAGTTCATTACTTCCAGGGAGTAAACTCTCCACGTTGGTGGATAATCAAAAAGGATCAAAACAGGAACCAAAGTTATTTATAGAGCCAATAATTGCCAGTATCGCTGGCTTT